AGGGAACCTAGCAGCTCCTTCACAGTCTGGGAAATGATCTTTCATTGTATCCCTGAACCAGTTGCTTTGGCGGGTGGGGACGGGCCACACCGGTTAGATCAGACTCCCTATCACTTCCTTGTAGCTTTCCCAACTGTAAGAATATCTGCTTCTTATGCTCCAGGTCCCTGAAACATACTTCCTATGCATCACCTCTTTTAATGCTCACAGAAGCCTCTGAGGTATTTATGGAGATAATCTACATTATCTGCAATGAAGAAATCAAAGCTCAGAGAGAATGGAAGCCTTGCCCAGAGTCACACAGCCAACATGTGGAAGAACTGCTGGGAAGCAGCAGGTCTAGGAGTTGAAAAGGACCTGTGAGATTCTGCAGCCTGAGCTCTCAGCTCCTATGTCCCTGCCTGTTGAGTGAGAGGTCACTCAGTAGCCCCTCACTGGTGCCATTCTACCTCCTGTTGCTATCCTGGTGACCCAAATCTTTTGCCCATAGGGAGGTATTTTGTCCACAAATTCCAAGCTTCAGACTGAGTAACTCAAAGTCCTGCTCCTACCTCTGGGCTCCTCTGGACTCTCGATCTGTTTCCATGGAAACTGCTGGGCTCCTGCATCCCTTTTATCCTCCTTTCTGGGAAGCAAGGCCAGCTCCCTGGCACCCCGGTAGCCAGGCCTGACCATTATAAAGACCAAAGCAGCAATATCTGAAAGAAATATTTGCAGGAAGAAGGAGGAACCAGGTTGGGGTTCTGATTTTTTCCTTTGATGTGCTCCAAAATAACACCAGGTGCTCTGCCAATTACCGCAGCCCTGTGGAAACTGGCTGCAAAGTTGTTTGTCTTCCATTTTTTGGTTTCTTGCCATCTCACAGTCCATCCCCAGGCCTTCCTATCTTCCTGGGAAATTATTCTGGGGGTCCAGGGAAGAGGGCCAGTTGGGCAGGTCATCTTACCAAGCCCTGGTGTTGGGTGGCAGCATCCAGGAAGCAGCCGGTGGGCTGAGACGCCAAGGAGATGGTGGTCCCATCTACCCCTTCTAGAGAGGGGAGGAACCAGCTGTCAGAGAACCAGTGGACATCATGGAAACAGTGGACATGACATCACTCCTGCCCCATGTTGGCTGTGTGACTCTGAACAAGTCATCCACCCTCTCTGAGCTTTGATTTCCTCATTGTTAAAATGCAGATTATCTTTATAAGTACCTGAGAGGCTTTAGCGGTGTTAATGGCCAAGGTCTGAGAAGAACTTTATAGCTATTGCCCAGGCGCTTGGCACCTGTTCACAGGGAGCCCATCTGCTCTGGAAACTGAAGCAGCCAAAGTGATCTCCATATGCCGCCCCTGCCAGGTCTTGGTTGAATGTTACTCTCCTTGAGCCTGGATTTCCTTAGCTTTAAAAAGGGCCCGATTCTTGCACTGCACCCTTGATAGGCTATGACGAGGACTAAGCAAAGCAGGAACTGCAAGAGTACTCTGCAAAGGCATAGAAAGCATCTTCAAGATCCCCACCTCTACCACAATTGGTTCTGGCTACTGCTGCTGGTCTGGGGGGAGGAGGGAGGTGCTACGGTGTGGATGCATCTGTCCCCAAATTTGTGTGCTGAAATTTGATTGCCACTGTGAGAGTTTAGTGGGTGGGAGATCTGATTAGAATTCACACGTTGATGGCATTTGGGGGTGGGCCTTTGGGGGTAATTAAGGTTAGATGATGTCATATGAGGATGGGGACCCAGGGATGGAGTTAGCTTATGAAGAAGAAGAAGAAGAAGCCAATGTGGTGGTGCATACCTGTAATCCCAGCACTTAAGAAGCTGAGGCAGGAGGATTTCAAATTCAAGATTCCCTTGAGCTACATAGCAAGATTCTGCCAAACAAAATAAAACAAGGGGAAAGGAAAGAAGCAAAAAGGAAAGCTATGAGAAAAGGAAAACAATGGAAACAAAGTCTTTGTAAATAGGGAAGTGTGGAGGAGGTGAAGGGAGCACAGGTAATGGGAAAAAATAAGAACCAAGATACATCATGTACAGGTACAAGCACTCAATGATAAATGTAAATGTATTGTATACCTAAAATGTACCAATAAAAGAATTTAAGGAAAAAAACCAAAAACCCCTAAACAGAAGTCTGTCTGGCTAGCATGAATGCCCTATCTGGCCATGTGATGTCCTTGCCCATGATATGATACCTCAAGAAGCCCCCACCAGATGCCAGTGCCATGCTCTGGGACTTCCTGGCCTCCAGAACCACAAGCTAAATAACCTCTACTCCTTATGAATCACCTAAGAATTTTGTTGTAGCACCAGAAAGTGGACCTAGTCGGAACTAGAGGGCCTCTGCGGAGTGGAGTAAAGGTCTGCATGGACCAGTTGCGAGCTCACTGCTCAACACCACCCACGCATGCCATCTCCAGACCTTATCTGCACTCCACACATCTTTCCCAGGAGCCACCACACCCCTAAGGGCTGCAGACAATGCAGTTACCCCAGCTTCCTTCCAGACATAAGACAGGACAGTCTGGGCAGCTTCTGCAGACCTTCAGACAGCTCTCAGCCAGCAACAAGCACTAGTCCACCTTCACATGAACCTAAACTCCAGACTTCTGCTTTTCCCAGATGACCTGGGACCAGGTGGTCTGCAGTGCCCCCTTCCTGCAGCACTCCCAAACCCTGCAGACATTCTCTGGTTTCCAAGGCCCTGGCAGGAAGTGCTTTGGTGCTCAGGCTTCTGTTTTTAGAGCCCGTGGGCTCAGTGGAGATGGACAATGGACAGAGTCAGCCTGCTAGGCAGCAGGTGACTGATTCGGGAGTTGCCACTCTTGGCCCAAGTGTCACTCCTTCTGAGCAACAAGGAAAATTCCTCCCATCGGCCTGTGTCCCACCTTTTTATTAACCACAAAGGGCAGCCAGGATTCTTGCTAGGTGCCCCTTAACTGCATCATTTTTAGTCCCCATTTCACTGAGGTTCACAGAGGTTCTACAGCTGGCAAGCCTCACGACCAGGTAAAAGCTACCACTGTCTGACTCCAGAGCAGAGACTTGTAACTCCTCAAAGTGACTGCTTCTACAGCACTCAGCTTGGGGATGGGGACAAGGGTTTGTGTGAGCCCTTCAGTCACTCCTTGGGCCTGCCTGGGAGGCAGGGATGGGTCCCCAGAAACAGACTCCAGAGATGCATTCAAAATGAATGATGCAGTGTGCAGGTCACAGTGCATCCTGTGGTCATACCCAGGACCATCTTCTCTGGTCTGGGAAGGTCTGGGAAGCAGGAAGTGGGACACTGGGTTTTGGTGGTACTGGAGGGATCAGCAGCCTCACCCACAGACTTGTACAGAGGAGGGACAGGAGGCGAGACAGAGGAGCCAGACAGACAGGTGTCAGAGCCTGGCCCTTTGGGGGCTGTGCCCCACAGTGGTCAGGACCCTGGGTTCAGAGACAGTATCTGTCTCAGCCTTTCCTGGAGCCAGTAGCTACCCAGGGATTTCACCACTGATCACCAGTGCCACGAAGGAGCATGGACTCATTTAATCATCAGGACAATTCTAAGAGCTAGACATGCACACTCTCATTTTGCAGAAGAGAAAGCCCGAGGCACAGACAGCTGTGTAATTCACCAGAGATCACACAGCTTATTCTGCGATTCAGATGAAACAGCCTCATTCTAGAGTGACCACTGAGCCACCCTGCCTCCTGAGAGCCAGGCCAGGGACTCTGTTGGCTTTGGTGAGTTTCTCAGGCTAGGACCTCCCTTGGCAGCCGGGGGGGGGGGGGTGCACAGAGGCCTCCAAAGCCAGCTTCTTCTGACTCCTCTCTCCTAGTCCCTTCCTGCAAGTAATAATTCTGAACACATTTGCCCTGAGCAAAACACAAGTGGCTTTGGAAGCTGCACTCTGGCTTACTCAACCTTCCCCCTCCGCCTCTGCCTTGGACCCCTCTCACCTAACAACCTGCTTTTGATTCTCACTTACCTCCTTCCCTTTCGCTGTCCCTGGGAGAGCACTGCAGCTAACACTCATCAGCACTTGTTAATGAGCATGCATGGCAGCGCAGTCACTTGGTGGGGGAGAGGGGCGAGAGGAGGGACAGTGCAGTCTGTCACTGGGGTGGGGGCATCCTCGGGCCAGCACAGGCTGCCAGGGCTCTGAGCACCAGAGAACAGAAAGGAGCCAGCCCACCCCCAGCCTCTGCCAGTCCTTAGGATGTGCTGGCTGTACCTGCTTCTATTTTTCTGAGAGTGGCTCAGCAGATCCCTAGGTCACAGCTGGACATTTTCTGCCCCCTGGGGTAGGCAAATTTCCACCGTGTCCCTAGGTGGGCGAGGTTAAATCCAGCTGTGCCACCCCCTGGATAAATGTCAGGGCTGAGACAGATACCAGAGGGTGGAGGGGGGTACTCCGAGAGCGGGAAGTGCAAACCGCATCTGAATCCTCTCTGGGCCTCACTAACTCCAGCTGCCCCCAGCAAAGCCTTGTGCCCCTCGGCTTCTCTGGAAGCCTACGCTGCCTTAAGGAGCCACGAGAGCACGAAAAGGATGCTAGGTTCAAATTCCAGCTCTGCCACTTATTTGCTGGTGGGCAAGTCATTTAAACATTTTAAGTCTTGAGTCCTGCGTTAGAAAAATGGTCCCTGGCATGGAAAGGGCAAGTGAGAGGCGCCATGAGCGAGACCTAGTGAACTCCGAAGCCTGAGGGTTGAAATGCCTCTCCAGTTTATATCAGCGTTACCATTCGTGCTGTCATTACTACTGTGATCACTGTTACACAGTGATCGGTTGTCCTCAAGATGGTCAACGACAGAGGGAAGGGGAGGAAGGACAACCTCTCCTCGTTTCCATCGAAAGACCCGCGGGTGTCCCTGGTGGGTGCAGAAGAGCCTCAGCGCTTACGTGCTGACCCCGGGACCCTTGCCCGAGCCCCCCCCCCCCGCCCCGGCTTTCGATCCAGACGTGCCGCGCCCCTGCGCGATTCCCTGAGCGCGCGCGCCCTCTGCCGGCAGCCGGGCGCGGCGCAGCCCCGGGACAGCATATAAGGGCGGCGTGGCGCGCGGCCCCAGCGCGAGTGCCACAGCTGAGCGGCGCGGAGAGACAGCGCTCTGCTGGCTAAGGTCTCCAAGAGGCTCGCCATGGCTGGCTCGCAGCAGCAGCCCCCTTACCTGCACCTGGCCGAGCTGACGGCGTCCCAGTTCCTGGAAATCTGGAAGCACTTTGATGCAGACGGTCAGTAAAGCTCCCAACTTCTGCGCCCGGGGGCCCCCAGGGGACCTGGGGTTGGAGGGACAGAGGGGACGGCTCAAGGCAGGCAGGTAGGGGTGCATTGGCCCCCGAGGAGCGTGCTGGTCTCAGATCCTGCTGGGGTCGCGATCTCGAGTTTGGGAGACATCCAGCGGCTCTGGTGACAAGGGTCAGTAACTTTTCTCTCCTGCCCCGGGGCGCACAGAACCCACCAGCATTTGCATTATCATTCTGAGCAAGTAGGGAGCGTCCCCAGAGAGGAGGCCTGGGCAGGACAAGTGTCCTCGCGGCTCCCCTGCCGTCGTCTCCACCTTGCCCTTCAGGTAACTTCCAGCCTCCTGCTGCTGCTGCAGTCACAGGTCTCAGAAGCCCACTCGCATCAACCCTGGTGTCCTCTTTCTTGAAGACCATTCTGGAGCTTGGGGCAAGCTGGGCAGCCTGAGGGGGAAACCCCTGGCCTCCTGAGGGAGAAGCCCCTGGCTGGCTGGCTGGGAGCAGGTGTGGAGAATGGCATTTGGGGCTGACACCCCTTGGGCTTGCTTTGTCCATCCCCCGACCCCATGGGCAGTGGGTTTTCTACCATGGTCGCAGTGGGTGTGGTGGGGCGCCAGCGCGGCCCTGCTCCCTCCCCGTGATAATCCTGAGTGCTTTGGGCGACTCTATCTCTGGATAGAGGGGAGATGGAATCTTAAATGCTGCAGTGACCAATACTTTGTTCAGCGTGGTCTTGATACTGACCAAGCCAAAAGATGACGGCCAGACTGAATGGCCCTTGGAGGTGGCACCCAGCACCTGGGAATAAAGGGAGCCCCCCTATAGAGCCTTCTTATATCACTGCAGACTTTTGCTCCATCATTTAAAAAAAAAAAAAAAAAAAAAAAAGAACAATCTAATTTCTCTCTCCAAGGTCCTGGCTAAGGTGGGCATCCAAAATGTCCTGGCATCTCAGACGCGTCGGCAGGATGGTGGATCGGGGTGTTTATCCTGGCACTGAGAGCAAGTGCGATGGGGAGCAGAGGCTGCTGGGTGACGATTTCCTGGGTTCCTCCTTCCTCTCAGCCTCACTTGTCAGGGTGTGGAGGTGGCTAAATAGGTGCTCTGCTCAGAGTGCTGTGGACAAGAGGGGGTTAATGTCTAGGGATGCTCACAGGTGAAGTTTTGTTTCCTTGGAGGCATCTGAGAAAGCTGGAGGGCAGAGGACTGGACATCTGGTTACCTGGGTTAGGACCACGCTTCTGCCTCTGAATTACTGAAGGAGGTGGGTAGGTTGTGCAATATGAAAAATGGGACTAAAAGGAGGTTGTTTCCAATCCCCAGCACTTGATGAAAAACTCCCTCGGTGAAATGGGATCTAGTAGGATTGTAGCCTCTTAGTATTCCACATGACATGCCCATTCCCTAAGGATGTTCCTGCCAGTTTATCTGCACCAGAGACTTGCAGGATTCAAGGAAAGTTACCAAGCAGCCAAGGTTATTCCACTGGCCTCCTGCAAGATGAGTCAGCTAGAAACAGGACTCCACAATTCTGCTTTCCCCTTTGGCAAGAGGGTATCCATCCAGTACCCTCTGGATAATTGTGTACATCCTTACAATCTGAGATGTACTTTGCAAAACGGTCACACCTTCTCGTCCTGTGCTGCGAGGCTCCTGGACAGATTCCCCTTGTGCGGATGAGGAAACATATGCAAGGAATGACTTGTCCGAGGTTGTTATCTGGTTAGTGGTGGCATTGATTACTGGCCAGTGCTTATTTCCCCACTCGGATTTCAGAACACTTGCTGGGCTTGGAAGAGGGGATTTTTTTGTAATGACAGGTACAAGTCTCCCTCTCATTTGTCCACGGAAGAGCCTGAGACCCAGCCTTGGGGCCAGTGAACATTTCTTTTTATCCCAGCAAGGGGTCCTTGAGACCCAAGAGTTTTGAAGGACCTCCCAGAGCCCATGTGCCTTAGCTCCCCTGCTCCTATGTGAAGGAGGAGCTCAGGCTATGCTTGCTTCCTCGACACTAGACTTCTCATTGCCCTCTTGGGTCACAGCCTCAGGGAAGTCCCAGGGTGAGACCCTGGACTTATTGGAGAGGGAAGCCAAAGAGGAGTCCAGGCTGGAGATGAAAGCCTGATGACCCGGAATGTACATACAGCCAACTGCAATTCCACTGAAGGATCCAGAAGAAGGTTCGGGGCCTCCTCGCTGTGTACCTTTGTTCTCACATGCTCTGTGCCCTGCCGTCCCCTGCAGCACCCCACCACCTGAGGTGTTCCCAGCCCTGCCTGGGCCTCCCTCTGACCAACCCTGGCTTTTGTTTGCAACTTAGGGTTTCTTCCCTGAAGACTCTTGGTGCTCGCCACCTTAAAGAGCCCTGGGAGAACTCTCCCTCACAGCTCACCAGGTCCCTGGAGTGAGCTCCCAGAGCCAAGTTAATCACAGTCACTGGGGAGAAGGAGCTGCCTGCTCACCTCCTCCCCACTCTGATACTAAACAGACACAGGGAGACCATACCAAAAAGCTGGGTCCCGGGGAGAGAGAGGATGGTGGTAGGAGGTGCTGACCCTTGCTCAGCCCATTCCAAATAGGGAAAAGAGGTGGCGTCCTAGGGCCCTTGTCCAGAGAGATTGTTTTCAAAATTATCTTTAGCCTTGGAGAGGAGAAAGGAAACAGAAAGTATTTGGAGAGAGGGGGATTGGGTCACAAAGAGGCAATTTCTTTTCACAAGATCACACAGCAAAGCAGGAGGGCCCAGAGTTCTGGTCTCCTAGCCCCCCTCTATCACCCCAGACTCCTCTTCTGTGGTCACTAAGGCCAGGTACTGGGCAGGTCAGATACCTCTCAAAGGCAACAGCAGGCGTCAGGAAGATGGCAGCCAAGTCACCTTGTGACTCACGTGGGGTCTGGAGTTCTTCCATATGTCACCCCATGTTCTGAGTGACCGTTACATGTTTGAGACCATTGTTCTACTGCTTCCTGGTCACTCCTTTGTCAAGATTTCTTACTCTAGAAGACTCAGGCAGCTGAGCGACGTTGGGGTCAGAGTTTACGTGGTTTCCTGGGTTGTTCTGACAGATGCCACCATGTTCCAATTCCACTGATGACCTGAGAGGAGCCAGGCTGTGGCTCACAAAAGAAATGCCTCAATCTTTTGCTACCCCTCTGGAAGCAATAACAGTATGGGGAGAAAATGATTCCTCTTCCAGAGGCAAGCAGACACCCATGGGACCAAGTAGGGAATCCACCCAAGCATCTATTCTCCATGGTTAAAATATCTGTTCTATACATGCAAAAAGGTACATGCCTGAGGGAGCCTATTAAAAGGTTCTTTGACATACTGAAAATTGGGGGAAGGGGGAATGTGTTTCATCAGGGAGCCAAAAAAGAAACTATGATAACCTCTACCGTGGAGTATTAAACAACCAATAAGAGTTAAGCAGAGCTTTTGTGCTGACATAGAAAAATGTTCAAGATGTGTAACTTTTTAAAACTATAGCAGAACACTATCATAAGCCCATTTTTATAATTAATGACATTTGGACATTGGAGAGCATTTGGAAAAATACTACCAAATAATAGTGGTTCTCTCTGAAGAGTAGTCGAGGTAAAATTAAAAATAAACCCTCTTATTCTCTAAGTTAGTTTCTGTAGTGCTTGAAAATTTTACAAGAGCATGTTTTCTTGTGTCAAAACCTAAGAAAATAATTTAATGGGCATTTCCCTCTCCCCCAAAAGAAACACACATATCTCCAGGAGCAGGGACTTGCCCATACACTTCCAGGCTTTGCCCACCTCCAGATGGCCCTGGTGAGACAAAGGGGGTTAAAAGTCCCCCCCAGGGACCGAGCCTTGTTCCTCCTATCTGTGTGGGCCTCTGAGGCCCCCTGCACTCGGAGACTGAAAGTCAGTAACAAGAAGAACCACACAGGACTGGCGAGAGCTCTGCTCAGTTCTCCCTCCTTTTCCTCCTAAACCCAGTGGTCTAACAGAAGAAGTGTCCCCCAAACCCACGCTCCACCAAGGGACACCATCTAGAAGTGGGTGTCCAGGCTGGGTCTCCCAGAATGCTGATCACTGCTAACTTTTTGTCCCTGCTGGGGCTGGGGGAGGAAAGCTGGAACCTCTCAGAGGTGGGGAGAGGCCTGGGTAACTGGTGTTGGAATACCAAAGACCAAGATGCATGGAATATTAACCTATTAGCAGAGGAGACTCGTCAAAACAGTGTTACAAGATACGTGGGCGATATTAAGAATTGACACACACACACACACACACACACAAGAATTGACGTAAGTACTACAACATTTACAAGGCAATATAACAATGCTGTTCAGAAGGTAGTTGTGGGATTTATAAAAATGCCTGGGTCTTAGTCTATTGAAGTTGGCAGGGTCTAGGGCTGGGAACCAAGGTTAAAGCCACCTGAGCGCAGCTTTCTGCTAAGCCTGCTAATGAATCTCTGGGGATCTGTAGACATCTCCTGTGGACCTGATGCCAGGATTGGAGGCTCTCTGAGAAAGCCGCCTGCCTCCTGCCTCCATGGGCCCTGGAAATACATTCCCTTAACCTCTCTCCCCCTTTCCCCTCTGCAGTTGTTTCACTGACAGTGTCCTTTGGTGTGTGAGGTATGATGAAAACTACAGTGAATTGTTAAATTTTTAAAAATTTATTACAGTAAAATACAGATTGCTATTAATCCCTCTCACTTCAAACACACTTTTTCCTGCCACTTTTTGAAGTGGTTCTGGAGTCTTCTTGGGTGAGTGTCATGAATCAATTCAAAACGTTTACTTTCATGGTCATTTTGACTTTGGGGAAGAGCCTGAAGTTGCACGGTGCCAGATCAGGTGAGTGAGGTGGATGAGGACACGCTGTCATGTTTTTACAAGCCTGCCTTCCTGCTGGATGGCACTTGACACAGTAGCATTCACTATATTTTTGATCACACCTGCTAAAGACCCAAAAGGGGACTTCCAGGCCTGCTTTGGAAAGGGGCAAAA